TTTAGAAGGAAAAACACTTTTATGTTAACTAATATTAAAATAGAAGGCCCTAATTCAACCTTTATTATAAATGCATCAATGAAAGCACATGATGAAAATTAAAATTACTAACATATGATTTATATAAAAAGTTTACTTACTTGATTAGTGAAACCGACCCCAAAGCCAAGTAAGATTCGACCTAAGATGAGCATGAAAATATTTTGAGCAGCACCATTGATGGCTCCACCGGCAAAAAAGATGCAACCACCAAAGATCATGGTGTTTCTCCGACCCAATGCGGTGGTGACACGACTGGCCAAGAGAGAGGATATTAATCCCGCCAGATGAAGGGAGGACGTAAATAGTGTAAACAGCTGATTATCATACACACAATACGCGTTTGTTTCAGCTCTAGCAGACTTTCTTAGTATCGACGGAAAGAATTCTTCAAGAAATGGTTTCATCGTGGTAACACCTCCTGAAATCACATATCACCATTTTTCTTTCAATTAAGTTCTTCCTTTGTTCCCAAATCATCACCAAAGTTTTACCCTTTTAAGAAAATAATAAAATAAATTTCATTCAATAACTAAAATTAGTTTATAAATATATTTAAATAATCTACACAATATTAAAAAAATACTCTTATTATCAATTCTATTATAAATTAAACTCGATAGAAGGGTTTGGAAAAACATAATTAAAATGCAGGCTAAACTAACAAAAATGAACACTGTGTCTCACAAAAAGACTTCCTACTGCAATTTTTAGATGGTAGCTGATGTGGGAATTCAGCATTGTTAATCAAAATATTAATTGTAAGAGTTAAACGCAAATTAATGCAATTGGTTGGTTGTAAAGTGAGAATAATTAGAACCAATGTGTCTTTTGTCAAGCATGATTTTCCTGGATACTCCTCTCTCTCAATAATTGTTTCATCCAAATTAAAGAAACATTTAATTCTTTAACTTTTAATTAACATAAACGTATTTCAATCTTTCAGTTTTTTCTCTTTATTAATTAAATTAAATTAAATTGTTATTTATAACTTTAATAAAAATAATTATTTATATAATCATCTTTTTAAACTGATTTGACCTTTATCAATATAAACTATTTTATTAATTATTTAACTATTTAGGTTTTATAATTTTTTTAATTTAATTAATTATTTATAATTAAATAATTTAATTTTGAAAAATATTTATTTTAAAGTTATTTATTTTGTAAAAACCTTTTTTAATAAATTTAATAACATTCTTTTTATTATATGATACACATCCATATTAACTATATGTACTGTTTATTTTTTATTTGTTATCGGTTTCTTATTAATTAAGAGTCGTATATAACTCTTAAGGTGCCAAAATATTTTTTTTTGTAATTCATTTATTTCTCTCTACACTCATTCTGCCCCTACATTAATGATCAGAGAAAAGTTGTAATAACAAATAATTTTTTTCTTCTTTACAAAAATCCAAACCAAAAACAATTGACTTGATTAGACAGAAAAGAAAAAAAAAA